AAAAAAAAAATTAAAAAAGAGACTGTCCTTTTTCCATTGGATACTCTTTCCTGCTTTGTCAAAGATTAGTTGGCCGTACATTTGTGGGTCCAATTCTGGGGTCTCTGTTCTATTCCATTGGTCTATGTGTCTGTTTTTGTGCCAATACCATGCTGTCTTGATGATTACAGCTTTGTAGTAGAGGCTAAAGTTCACCAGTGTATGTTTTTAAACAAAGTCAGTAATGTACAATAGATAACATTCTGTGACCTGCTTTATTACTAAAAACACTGTAAACATTTTTGATGTCATTTCAAAATATTCTCCTGCAACATCATAGTTAATGGTTATACAATAATCCTCTGTACCCTCTTATTTATAATATTTTCTTCAGATGTTTAGGCTGCTCCCGATTAAAAAAAAAAAAATCAACACTATGAAAACATACTTTCAGCAAGCTATTTCTTCACATACTGTGACTGTTTTCAACAGATAAGCCCCCAGAACTGGGACTGTTTCAATAGCAAGGCCTTTGTAAGGCTTTCACCTTGATTCATTCAGATATTTCAATGACTAGCTCAGAAACAATAATTTAATTCTTTATGGCCATCCCAAGCTAAGTTTCAGAAAAAATGAAATTGAATTTACTATTAATGGCAGGAAGAGCTTAGGGCAGATAGTCATTTTATAGATCTACATGTTGACAGAATAAAACAATAATGTAAGTTAATATCATACTAATAAATTTTTACTATAACTCATTCAAAATGAACTTTAGCAACATCTTACTTTTAAAAATTCAAGAAAAGGATGTAAATGGCATCCCTCTCTAAGTTTGATTTCCTAATATCAAGAGATCATCATTCAAACCTAATTAAAATATTTAAGCCTATTTTCTTGTCTGCTATTTTTACCAGAAAGCAAAGAGATTTTGTTCAAATAATTAAATTACCCTGGATCTTGTGTGCACCTATCCTATTATGAACCTTAGAGCTCCTCTGAGGCCCTCATTACCCTCTCAGTGGTGAAAGTCCTACAGACTTTCTTTGTACATCTGTACACTGAAAGAGCACAAGATCACGTTCAAGAGTCTTAAATACAGCCATAAAAAAGAATGAATTCTTGCCATTTGCAACAGCATGGATGGAGCTAGAGGGTATAATGCTAAGTGAAATAAGTCAATCAGAGAAAGACAAATACCACACATATGTAGAATACGGGGGTGGGGGGGTTGGGGGGGGTTGGGAGGGGAATGAATAAAGAAAAAAAGGGACAATCCAAAATCCAGACTCCTAACTCCAAAGAACTGTTGACTACCAGAGGGGAGGGGATTTGCGGGATGGGTGAAATAGGTGAAGGTGATTAACAGCACACTTCTTGTGATGAGTGCCGAGCAATCACTAATATATACTAACTAACTAATATAACACTATGTGTTACCAATGCCGGAATTAAACTTTTTAAAAATAAAATGTAGAGGCGCCTGGGTGGCTCATTCAGTTAAGTATCTGACATTGGCTCAGGTCATGATCTCACAATTTGTGGGTTCGAGCCCCACGTCGGGCTCTGTGCTGACAGCTCAGAGCCTGGAGCCTGCTTTGGATTCTGTGTCTCCCTCTCTCTCTCTGCCCCTCCCCGGCTCACATTCTGTCTTTCTCAAAAATAAACAAACATTAAAAAAATAAAATGTAAAAAAAAATTTTTAAGCCTTTCTTCTACTGTAAAAGTGTGTTTGTGAAGATCTCAACATAGTATACAGTTAATTATTGTACATATTGGTCTTAGTTTTTACAGAACAGAAGGAGGTAAAGTTAGGACAGGGCTTGGTAGCAATCTACCTCACTTCTCTCTAGGTTCTTAGTTTTTTTTAAAAACCATCTCTCTCCTGTTTTAGCCAGGTTTCCTGCGTAGCACTCTGACTTCAAGGGATGAGTTATGTATGGGACTACAGCCAGATAAAATAGAATAAATTGGTGGGTTAAAAATATACCCCCCTACACACACACACACACACACACACACACACACACACACCTGCAAAAAACAGCTTAAAAATAAAAACCTATAGTAAAATGTGTCATGGATAGTGAGAACATGAAACATGCCATTTCTAAGGGATTCTTTATTTTAAATTTCTAAACAATGCTTCTTTCATAGCTCATTATGGAAAGAAAATTATATAGTTTTGATGGCCTACATCCAGTTCAATGAATCACATAAATGAGAAACAAAATGAACTATTGCTCAATAGCAAAAGGATATGATACTTGCACTTTAAATCCTTTCTGGAATCTGATATACAACAAATTTCAAATAAAGGCAATTATCATTTCAAGACAAACTCTTAATGAAATAAATCTTTTACTATACACTGTATCACTGCCTACAGATAAGAATCACAGTACAATACAGGAATATTATAGATTTACTTGGCAGTATGAGAGATCTAAAACTTGTGTTTCATTTAATAGTCTGATTGCTTACTTGATTGACTGCCAGTCCATCGTAACCGTGAGAGGAGAGCTACGGAGAGCAGTGAATGACCTCCCTCGACATATGGGCACAGGACACTGCAACAAGATTAATTCACATCCAGATTTTAATAAACTACAATCACATCTCAGGAAAATTCAAGTTAAAATGCTTCATTTAACATTGTTTTAAGTTGGTCTCAGGATGGTGTTAAAGTAAAATGCACTAAGAGCTTAATGACTTTCTATTTCCTTCTGTATCAATTCTGTATCACAAGCTTTTGAGGTACTTTTGCAGCTGGTCCCTCTTGATTACTGCTCTTATTCTTTCCGCTATGGGTGTGCAAGGCTCCTCACAAGCCTCTCACACTAAGCATTCCTTCCTTCCTTTGTGCCCATGTAGCCTCCTGATCTTTGAATGCCCTCTCACATGCAGTCCCACGTACCCAGCCCTAATCCTCCCCTTTTCCAAAGGCTTCCTAGGTCTTCCTTAATCCCTAGATCTCCTATCTCACTTCCTTGTGCTCTGTTTATATAATGTTTATTGTACCACAAAGGCAGTCTTCACCATGTGAGTTGTGTTCAAGTTTTTACAAGTCACTTGTTGGCTATTTGGACCCCAAGATGCATTTATAAATTCACAGATCGTGCCACAGATTGGCCAGTTCCAAATATGACTGCAACAATATCTCTCCAAGAGCCTTTCTAGAACCTTACCACTCCCCCATCAAGAGATGGAGTCTAATTTCCCCTTTTTGGAATCTGGACAGGCTTATGACTCACTTTGTAACCAACAGAATGTGATAGAAGTGATGCTGCCTGACTTCTAAGGCTAGCTCAAAAGAGCCAAAGCCATTTCTTCCTGAGAGCTAGATGTCTGTCTCTTGAAGCTGTCAGCAGCCATGTGTGCAGAATGAGTATCCCAAGCTGTCATACTTTGAGTGAGAAACCAAAACCAGCCCGGAGAGACCACTTGGAGGAGAGATGCCCAGCCAGCCCCCAGCTACCCCAGCCCCCAGCCACTGCAGCCCCTCGCTGTTCAGCTCCAGCCACCATTGGACTACAACTCCATAAGAGACCCAGGGGCAGAACTACCCAGCAAGCAGGTCTTCTGAACTTCGAACTGACAGAAACCATGAGAAGTAATTAAATGATTGTTGTCATTTTAAGCCACTAAGTTTTCGAACTGACAGAAACCATGAGAAGTAATTAAATGACTGTTGTTATTTTAAGCCACTAAGTTTTAGGGGGATTTGTTATGCAGTAATAGTGACTGAAACAGGGATCTCCTGGAACAATAATTTTTCTGAGTGCTTCAGTTCACCAAAGTTCAGACACAAGCAGAACCTCTTCACACTAGCGCTCATCCTACAGGTCAGCATTACCACCCACGATACTAGAGGGCATGGAAGTATCTTGACCAAACGTGGTGTACGGTAAATATCCAATAAATCAGCATTTAAATTTTGGCCTAAGAGCTAAAGGCAGAGCCTGAACCTTAAGCCCAGACGAATAGTAGGTGACACCCATTTACCAACACCACTGATCACCCAGAACCAATGGCTGAGGGGTGCCTGGGTGGCTCATTTGGTTAAGCAATCAACTCCTGATTTCAGTTCAGGCCATGATTGTATCATTCATGAGATCAAACCCCATTTATGGCTCTGCACTGACAGCACAGAGCCTGCTTGGCATTCATTCTCTCCCTCTCTCTCTCTCTCTGTGCATCCTTTCCTCATGCACATGCCCCCCACCTAAATAAATAAATATTAAGAAAATATATTTTAAAAAAGAACCAATAGCTGAATCTAACACATCTTGTTCTTCTTGTAAAAGAAGAAAATCCTACAAATTTCAATTTGTGTAAAAATGTAATAAATGTTAAATTTATTAAAGTCTAAGGTTGGTAGAGGCAACCCTGGAAAATAAGAATAGGTATGGTAAGTCTCCCTGCCTTATCAAAAGTTTTAATGAGATCAGCAAAAGTAAGATTGTATAGAGCTGGGATAGGACCAGTGAAATGAAAGAGTCACATGTCTATAAAAGCACAGTGAACCACAGAAGAAGCAATACACGTCAGTAGGAATAGAGGGCTTAATTAATAAATGGTGACAACTGGCTTTTCACCTAAAAGAATAAAATTAGATCCTTAGCTTTATGCCATTCCCAAGATTAAATTCCTGATGAACAAAAATCTAAATATAAAAAATATGACCTAGAAGTATTAAAAGGGAACATAAGAGAAATGTTGATAATGCTCGAGTGAAGAACGCCTTTTTAAGAAGGGCATAAAAAGTAAAAGTCATGGGGCGCCTGGGTGGCGCAGTCGGTTAAGCGTCTGACTTCAGCCAGGTCACGATCTCGCGGTCCGTGAGTTCTAGCCCCGCGTCGGGCTCTGGGCTGATGGCTCAGAGCCTGGACCCTGTTTCTGATTCTGTGTCTCCCTCTCTCTCTGCCCCTCCCCTGTTCATGCTCTGTCTCTCTCTGTCCCAAAAAAATAAATAAACGTTAAAAAAAAATTTTTTTTTTAAAAATAAAAAAAAAAAAGTAAAAGTCATAAGGGAAAAAAAACAATCACTTTAGCCCTGTCAAAATTTAAAACTATAGAACAAAAAATATACCACAAAGTTAAAAGATAAACCAAATACTGGGAGAAGATATCTATAATGTATATAATCAAGATTATTATCTAGAATTAATAAAAAACTCTTATCAATAGTATAAACAGAAAAATAAGCAGAAAACATAAACAGAAAATTCAATAAAGAAGGAAACTGAATGGCCAATAAAGATGTGAAAAGATGTTCAACTGTAACAGAAATAGTAGAAATTCATATTAAAAATGAAATACCATTTACCCCACCAGAATGACAACATTTAAAAAGGCTAATAATACCAAGTGTTAGTGAAAATACAGAGAAATGGTAATTGTTTAACACTCCCAGCAGAGGTGTAAACTGGGACCAACACTCTGACAAGTCGTTTGGCAACCTCTAACAGTTAACAATAAGCTTATCCCAGAACTGAGAAATTTCTCTGCTACAGAGATATGTACACGAATGTTTTCTGCAGCATCGTATGTAGTTGTAAAAAACCGGAAGCAACACAAACGTCCACCAGGAGAATGGATAAACAATCGCTATTCATTCAATGGGGTACTCCACAACGGTAAAGATAAAAGAATTAGGTATGTGTTAAGATAGGTAAACTCCAAAATAACCAAGTGAAAAAAAAGTTGCAGAATGTTACATTCAATATACCATTCACATAAACACACACAAAACAAACCTTACACATACTGTCAGGTATAAGAATGCAGATTTGAAGAATTTATGCCTATTTCCGAAGAGTGGCTGCCTCTAAGGATGAAAAAAGTGAATGGAATTGGGGAGGGCAATAGAGAGATTTCAACTTAACTCTAATACTTAGTATTTTATGCTTAAAAAATTAAGCTTAGGGGCGCCTGGGTGGCGCAGTCGGTTAAGCGTCCGACTTCAGCCAGGTCACGATCTCGCGATCTGTGAGTTCGAGCCCCGCGTCGGGCTCTGGGCTGACAGCTCAGAGCCTGGAGCCTGTTTCCGATTCTGTGTCTCCCTCTCTCTCTGCCCCTCCCCCGTTCATGCTCTGTCTCTCTCTGTCCCAAAAATAAATAAACGTTGAAAAAAAAAATTTTTTTAAAAAAAGAATTAAGCTTAAATCACAAAACATTAATATCTGTCAACTCATAACGGTGGCTCTATAGATATTATTCTCTCGACTTTTCTATGGCTTTAAAATCTATAGTCTAAAGTCAATAAAGATAAAAGGAACACATCATTGTCAAAACTATTAAGTCAAAATATAGAAATATGAATGGAAAGGATACACATTAACTTTAGGATAATGACTGCCTCTGGGAACTGTAGAAGCAAGGGGGCACAAAAGAGACACTAATCACATCCATAATGCTCTAGATCTTTAAAAATATAACTGGAGCTGGCAATATGCAAAATTCTGGGTGATGATTAGAGGAATGCTTTATTGGTTTATTTTATGTACCCTGAAGTATTTCATAATTTAAAAACTGAAAATAAGTAAGAATAAGCTCTGTGCTCAGAAACACTGGGAAATGTTTTCTGTAAACTGATTTGCCTTCTCTACCAAGATACATAATTAAGTAGGTAAATAACATATTACCTTTGTGGGAAGATTATATTTTCCATCTGGAAGAGGAAAACCCTGAACTTCTCCACATGCAGCACAAAGAAAAGCCATCTTAGTGCACAGAGGCTTTATGTTACTGACACGAACCACTGTCCCTCGCAGAGCGATATATTTTCCATAGTAATTTGCTCGGACATTCTTGAGCTGTGTCAAGGGCTCATAGTTATAGACCCTAAAAACAAAAACAAGAATGTATTTATCTATGAATTTACAATAAGCCAATAGTGGAAGTTATCTGTATCTTCACAACTTCCTTTTAGGAGCAACTGTGGATTCTCCAACCATAGCATACCTACAGATCAGTAATTTCAGAAGAATTAAATCATTCTTAAAGATTAAAAAATGCTAAATGTTCCCGTTTCTTCTAGTCCCACTGGATGTTCTCTAAGGGAAAAAAGGAAAAAACTACTGTCAAAAGGAAAATTTTGGCAACAAAAAAAGTGACTTGAGTTTCTTCTTTTTCAAGAACTGTTACAAAGTGTCTTCTATAAATTCTGAAAAAGAAAAACCCTAGTGATTACCTTATTCAGCTCTTCTAATGAGAATTTTAAGTCTTAAATAAAGATGAATTAAAGAAAAACAGAATTCCATTTGTTCTGTGTCTAGTAGAAACCTAGTAATTTCAACAAAATATAATCACACCATTTACTGTATTACATAGATTATTAATTTAAATAGCAGCATCTTGATAAGTATACATCCAAAATCAATTTTTACAGGAATGTACAGGTTGGGAAATCACCTTATTTGGGCAGGGAAATTTATTTTTGTCATGACCTCTTTGAAGAATTCTGAGTGAGTTTACTTGAGTTTGATAATAAGATAGCACAGAATTCAACCTTTTTTACTGATTTCTCTGGTTTTATAAAATGAGGTTTCCAATCTCAAACAGTCTTACATGCCAGATTCTAAATAATACTTTAATACCGGCAAATCCTTACCTGGCATGAATGTGTGGCACATTTACCATTGTTTCCCCATCCCTAGACAATCCTTCTTGGGCTTGTAATTCAGCTGCATGCCTTTCAAGGTCCCTAGTTAATACCTAAACAGTTGGAAAACAAAATACACTCTTGAAGTAGAACTCTTTTATAGAAATGTGAAGTTTATGAATATAAACAGTTAGAACAGAATATTAACAGAACTCTAATAGCCCTTTAAAACTCTGATATTTAAGGGGTGCCTGGGTGGCTTGTTCAGTTAAGCATCCGACTTCAGCTCAGGTCATGATCTCATGATTTGTGGGTTTGAGCCCCACGTCAGGCTCTGTGCTGACAGCTCGGAGCCTGCTTTGGATTCTGTGTCTCCCTCTCTTTCTGCCCCTCCCTTGCTTGTGCTCTGTCTCTCTCTCAAAAATAAACATTAATTTATTTTTAAACTCTGATATTTAATTATGACTACTTATTTTATAGTGGATTATGTTTTACCTGGGATTTTGTCATCCCTGGACTGGAAAACTCCAGCATCCCTGTCTGCTTTCTGTCCAAAGTAAGCTTAATATTAAAAGGTCTTACAGTAGTCTCCAAAGCTATTACTGCCTGAACAGGCTCTGGTGAATACATATTTTATACTTCTCTATATTCAGTGATTAAGATAGAGAAAATAAAGATGACTTTTGAAATATATAATACCCACTCCCTTGACATTTGATATTAAATATTTAATATCCTCTTGTGTACAAAGCAGTATGCTGACAATCTAAGAGTGAAAATGAGATGCACATCTATAGCTCTAATTGTTATAAAGACCATAAAGATTTAGAGACAAATACTACGCAAGTTTTGAAAAACAGTCCTGAGAAAGGTTTACATGAGAGACAATGGAGTTAGGCCCCAAAATCTGGATGCAATGCAAGGGGCATTCCATGGTTAAGGGACGGCATGTGCAAGAGGTCAGAGTATTGAAAGAATTCTGGGGAGAGCTCAGCTTAGCTTAATGGGTAGTGAGTGAAAGTGGAGGAGGAAGATGAACCACATCATGGAAGGCCTTCAACGCCATGTAAAGGATTTGGATTTCACTTGGAAGAAGTCACCAGTTTCCGAAGACAGATCATGTTTCACCAGTATAGCAACAATTTAGGAAAGATAATGAAGGTTTAAGAAGGGTGGAGGGCCAGTAAGGGTGGAAAAGAGATGGATTTAAGAGATGTTTTAGAAACAGGAATGAAAGAATGTGGTGACTTGGATATGGAGAACTAATGAGAGGGATGAGTCTGGAGACAACACCAAGGTTTCCTGTCTCAGGTTACCAGCAATGTACACATCTTTGTAATTAACTATTCCTTGTGCCTGGATACCATTACCTCCTCTGGACTATGTCTAATTCTCAGAACCCCTTTAAGACCCATAATAACCCTAGCATCTCTACAAAGTCTTCCTCTGACCTCTTCCCATTCCTCCCCAATAGTCTTACTTTTTCTGAATGCACCCAGTATTTTATCTGTTCCTGTTCTGAGATTTACAACTCTTTACCTAGAAGCATTTATCTATTTGTCAGCCTAAATAATACTGTCACATATGTTGTGTCAACTGACCCTGAGAAAAACAGGCACAGCATATATTATTTTCCATTTATATATGGGGACACTCAGGGAGACTAAGTCTTGCCCCATGCCACACAACCTAAATCTGAGGTTGTTTTCCAAGTTCATAACTGATAACAACATGATCCTTGTCTTATCTTCCTTACGAGATTTTTTCAAGGAGCTCTTCAATTCCTGTATTATCTTTAACAGACTAAACTAATTCAAGTAAATTAAAATAAATGTTATATTTAGATAAGCTGTTGTATATAGAATGAATGCTATCTTTCAGGACAGGATTGAAATTCTTCAGTTCTAGTTGGCTAAAAACTACCTGTTAGGGAAGGTACTGTTACTGTAAAGTCTTCCTTTAAAATTTTGACAAAAGTCAACACAAAAATATTTACCTGATGTATTGCCAGACCCATGCAAGCCAAAGTTTTCTCAGGTGTATCCCTTAACTCATTTGCTATAGTTGGTACCAGTTTAGTCATTTCATCGTCTTTTGTCAGTTCTTTAAAATCCACCAAAATACTTCCCTTTCTTTCTATTTCATCCTATAAAATATTAAAGGCGTGAAAACAATGATGGCTTTTTTGAAGTCAACAATCAAAACTAAACATTCAATTACTTTGAAAAAGCATATGTTTATATTGTGATAACAATGAGTATAATAAGCTTTGCGCCAAGCACAGTTACAGTATTTAAAATATATTAATTTACTTATGCCTTTTAACAACACTTTGTGGTAGGTATTAATACTATTATGACCAACTGATAGATGAGAACACTAAGGTACAAAGAACGTAAGTAATACACCAAAGTCCACACTGCAGCTAAGTGGCAGAGGTGGGATCTAGATCAAAGCTGTCTGGCTCCAGCCTCTACTGATCACTAGCACCTCAAACACATCGTTTAAGAAGACAACACATAAAGGTGTACTGGTAGCTTTGTTGTACAGGAATCTTACCTTATCATATAAATCAATACGCCTTGTGAAAAAATTTTCAAATGCTTGAATCTTCTCAATAAAAGGAGAGCTACTGCTGTAAACTAATCCAACAAATATGGCATTAGCACTAATAATCACACACATACAGGCATATTTTTCATGAGACGAAGAAACATTGCACACATGGTAGAGGACTTGTTCCAATTACTTTGCATTTTGATTATATTTACATAGGAATAGTTAAGTATTCTAAAGCAAGTTTAGGTCTGCATAATCTTTTTTTTTTTTTTTTTAATTTTTTTTTCAACGTTTATTTATTTTTGGGACAGAGAGAGACAGAGCATGAACAGGGGAGGGGCAGAGAGAGAGGGAGACACAGAATCGGAAACAGGCTCCAGGCTCTGAGCCATCAGCCCAGAGCCTGACGCGGGGCTCGAACTCACGGACCGCAAGATCGTGACCTGGCTGAAGTCGGACGCTTAACCGACTGCGCCACCCAGGCGCCCCAGGTCTGCATAATCTTAAATGCAGATAAGAAGTGTTTCTCTCTAAAAGCACCAATACTATCTGGGAATCTTTGTACTGAACCTTTGGCGCTTAATAGGACCTAGTAGTTCAGATAGCTTACATAATAGAGCTTAAAATGAAAATTATAATAAAGCCAAAGCTAGACACCTGAATTAAATTCTTACCCAGAAACAGAGCTAAAGACAATCAGTCTTTGCAAAGTAAATTCTACAAGTCCAAAATGCCACATGTCAAATCCCTTCCTGACATTAGGGTAGACAGACCGCTATTTCACTCTGGTCCCAAAACTTTTACACTGTAAAGTTCCATAACATTTTCAAACTGGTCTTCCACAGAGAAACAATACAATGAAGTAGTTTGGAAGTATAGATGGTTAAATCTAAGGCATCTGCTGAACTCCATCTTTAGGACCAGTCTAAAGATCACTTCTGGTGTTCTGGTCTAACTACTAGGGAAATATTGCAGGTGTTGGTAGCTAATGAATCCTAAAACAACAAAAGACACATCACCTAAGAAACATATCTATGTGATAGAAAAAAAAAAACAGACTCTCAATACAGAAAAACATTTGTAAAGCACTTCATTCATTCACCAAATGAATACTGAGTGCCTGGTAGGGGGAAGATCCTTGCCCTCAAAGCAGTACAGTCCAGTGGAAAAAAACCTATATATATACACATATATGAGTACATATATATATATACATATAAATGTATATATATACACATATAAATGTACATATATATACATATATATGTACATATATATACACATATATATACATATATACATACATGTCTTTACACACACACATATACATACACATAAACCATAATTCATAAGAGATATAACATATAGAAAAAAACTGTAAGAACACAGAAAAGACTAGTCTCCAAACCTATGATGTTAACTGATATTTTTGACTATAAAAGGGAGAGTCCTTAAGTGTGTCTCTACACAAGCCTGTGTAGGTTCTCTTGGTTCCAAGCCCTCCCTTCTATTTTCTATTCTGTGATGCTATGATTGAGATCTGCACAGTGCACTGCCCAGACTCCTTTAAATTCTGCCAACTGGAGGCATGTTAGAGACTGGAAGGTGGCAAGAAAGAAGGGTTTTATTTTTGTTTCTAATTCTCTTCAGCATCTTGCCAGCTGCAGAGAATTTCCAGCCTCCAGCTCTGAGCATCAATAGTGTCATCCTCCCACCAGAGTTACCAGCAACAACCAGCTTCATTTGCTGCAGTGGTCTGAGCACAGGTGTGAAGAGTACCCTTTGGAGATCCAAGCACAGCTTTTCAGGGTGCCCCTGAGCACCTGAAGCAACAACTTTTCCTTTGAATCCCTACATCCTGACAACCTCAGAACTTCTTACTTTTTATTCCCTCAGCCATAAGGATGGTTGCTGCTTCTGGAAGTTACTATTATCTGAGGGCTTATCACAGTGTTCCCATTTTGCTCTTTATTTATTTTTTTAATTTTATTTGAGAGAGAGAGAGAGAGAGAGAGTGAGAGAGTCCTAAGCAGGCTCCAGGCTCAGTGTGGAGCTCGATGCAGGCTCAATCCCATGACCCTGGAATCATGACCTGAGCCAAAATCAACAGTCAGAGGCTCAACCAACAGCCACCCAGGAGCAACCCCCCTTTTGCTCTTTTTAGACTTCCAACTGTATATTCAATTCACTGTATTAAGTCCCCTTTTGGAAATACCTACTGTGGTTTCTGCTTTCCTAACTGATACAAACTCTAAACATAATACTCTTTAAATATAAACATGATTTAATTGTTTGGGTGAACTAAAATTAAAGAAGGGGCTATCTATCAGTAAGCCAAATGTACTATAGTAATAGGAGATGTAACATCCGGTGACAAGAAAACAGAATCTGTGGGGCGCCTGGGTGGCGCAGTCGGTTAAGCGTCCGACTTCAGCCAGGTCACGATCTCGCGGTCCGTGAGTTCAAGCCCCGCGTCGGGCTCTGGGCTGATGGCTCGGAGCCTGGAGCCTGTTTCCGATTCTGTGTCTCCCTCTCTCTCTGCCCCTCCCCCGTTCATGCTCTGTCTCTCTCTGTCCCAAAAATAAATAAACGTTGAAAAAAAAAAAATTAAAAAAAAAAAAGAAAAGAAAAGAAAGCAGAATCTGTGATACTCTTTACACTTGTAAATTTACCTTCAGAGAAATAAAGCTTCCAGCCTTTATATGGTATGAACTGATCCAATGTTGATTGTAGTAGCAAAGACTGTGAGGTTTGTTCTAAAAAAAATAGAATATTAAGTCAATAGAAATAGTAATGTGCTGCTGAAGCGAGCACTAGGTTAGTAGAAATAGAATTTTTTTTTCCTATTTGCTTCTCCTTCTGATAATGAGAAACTGACATGATATTAGTAGTTACAGGTTAAGTTATAGGTTTCAGTAAAAATTTTGGATCTTAATACTTAAATACTACTTTAAGGAGTAACATCAAATCAAAGACTGAAGTTTAAGTTAAACTGCTTTGCAGGACAAGCATAAATAGCTTCCTTCATGAAGGAAAAAAAATTGAGCAATCTTTGACCTCCCCTACCAGAAGTATGCTTTCTCGTGGTTTTATTCAGGTCAGGTCTGTGTTCTCTCTCTCTCCATTTTCCTGTGAAGCTCCCACCACCTCGTCCTCTTTTCCAGCTTTGAAACCTCCCTCGTCCAAATCCTCTGCCTCTATAGTCTCCATTCATGTCTTCTAAAAGACAAAGACAAAAAAAAACTTCATCAAAATTATAATGGAAATAGTGCTCCTAAGAATGTATTAACATAGTAAATAAAATTAACATATTCTAGTTTGAGATTAGCAAACAGCACTGCAACATTGTACATCATGGTACCAGCTTCAAACGCTCTGCAGTCACACTTCTAATTCCCATCTCTCTCTCCTTAAAGTTTTTACTTAAATTCCAGTTAACATACAGTGTAATATTTGTTTCAAGTGTACAATACAGTGATTCAACACTTCCACACAATACCCAGTGCTCATCATCACAAGTGCACGCCTTAATCCCAATCACCTGTTTCACCCCCTACATTCCCTTCCAGTAACCGTCGGTTTGTTCTCTATTGTTAAGAGTCTGTTTCTTGGTTTATCTCTCTCTTTCTTTTTGCCCTTTACTTGTTTGTTTTGTTTCTTAAATTCAACATATAAGTCAAATCATATGGTATTTGTCTTTCTCTGACTGACTGACTTTGCTTATTTTACTCTCTAACTAGATCTATGTCATTGCAAATGGTACCACCTCTTTTTAAGGTATATGTACCATAGGTGTTTAACCAAGTATACTGAACATTCATGGGACAAAAATAAGATAGTGTACTGGTTTTCAAGGGGCTCCCTCAATAGAAATGAAAATAAGACAAGTAATTAACTCAGAGATGATTTTTTTTTTGTAGTGTTTTAGACTGATTCTAGGGCAGCACTGGCTGACCATAATTCTGACCTGTGACACTATGAATACATCATCATAGACCCTCAAAAACAGTCAATCCTGCATGTCATATCCACTTTTACAAAAGGTACACACATAATCTTACATAGGCAGCTAATATGAACTTTTCTGAGGATGCATAGGGATGGAAAAGGGTACATACATGTTTTAATCTTTCTTTCTCTATAGGGGCTAAATAGGAAAGAAGTTAATTTTCTGGGACTTCCAGCTTTTCAAAAAGGCAATGGAAGAAAGATCATTTCTAAGTCAATACTGATTAGATGAATTATTTGCAGTTCTTAGATAAACTCATTGAAATGCAATCATTTTTTAAAAGACATATTTATTAACATATTCTCATCTTTTTTTTTTTTTTTTTTTTTTTGCTAATTATCCCTTCACATTTTTTGTTTTGTACATAGCAAGATACTCATTTTTTTTTTCTTAACTTAATGATAGATTCTGGCTAATTATCAAAGATTCAAAATAAAAGTAACCTTTAAAATAGTTTTTAACCTATAACCAGTAAAAAAAAAATTGAATCAGTAATCAAAAATCTCCCAAAAAACAAGAGTCCAGGGCCAGATGGCTTCCCAGCGGAATTCTAACAAATGTTTAAAGAAGAGTTAATACCTATTCTTTTGAAGCTGTTCCAAAAAATAGAAATGGAAGGAAAACTTTCAAACTCATTCTATGAGGCCACCATTACCTTGATTCCAAAACCAGACAAAGACTCCACTAAAACAGAGAATTACATACAAATCTCCCTGCTGAACAAGGATGCAAAAATTCTCAACAAGATACTAGCAAACCAAATCCCACAACACATTAAAAGAATTATTCATCACGATCAAGTGGGGTTTACTCTTGGGATGCAGGGCTGGTTCAATATCCACAAATCAATCAATGTGACACATTGCATTAATAAAAGAACAGATAAGAAACACATGATCCTCTCAATAGATGCAGAAAAAGCATTTGACAAAATACAGCATCCTTTCTTGATAAAAAGCCTCAAGAAAGTAGGGATAGAAGGAACATAACTTAAGATCATAAAGACCATATACAAAAGACCCACAGAGAATATCATCCTCAATGGGGAAAAACTGAGAGCTTTCCCCCTAAGGTGAGGAATGTGAAAGGATGTCCACTCTCACCACTGTTGTTCAACATAGTGTTGGAACAAGTCTCAGCAATCAGACAACACAAAGAAATAAAAGTCAACCAAATTGGAAAGGAAGAAGTCAAATTTTCATTCTTTGCAGACAACATGATACTCTACATGGAAAGCCCAAAAGACTCCACCCCAAAACTGCCAGAACTGATACACGAATTCAGCAACATTGCAGGATATAAAATCAACGTACAGAAATCAGTTGCATTTCTATACACCAATAATGAAGCAGCAGAAAGAAAAACCAAGGAATCGATCCCACTTACAACTGCACCGAAAACCATAAATACCTAGGAATAAACCTAACCAAAGGTGTAAAAGATCTGTATGCAGAAAACTATAGAAAGCCTATGAAAGAAACTGAAGACACAAAGAAATGAAAAAACATTCCATGTTCATGGACTGGAGGAATACTGTTAAAATGTCAATACTACCCAAAGCAATCTACACATTCAACGCAATCCCTATCAAAATAACACCAGCATTCTTTACAGAACTAGAACAAACAATTCTAAAATTCAGAAAAGGCCCTGAAGAGCCAATGTAATACACTGAAAAAGAACACCAAAGCTAGGGGCATCATAATTCCAGACTTCAAACTGTATTACAAAACTGTAATGATCAAGACAGTATGGTGCTGGCACAAAAACAGACACATAGATCAATGGAACAGAATAGAGAACCCAGAAACGGACCCACAAATGTATGGCCAACTAATCTCTGATAAAGCAGGAAAGAGTATCCAATGGAAAAAAGACAGTCTCTTCAGCAAATGGTGCTGGGAGAACTGGACGAAAACGTGAAGAAGAATGATACAACGACTTTCTTACACCACACACACAAATAAATTCAAAATGGAGAAAGACGTAAATGTAAGACAGGAAACCATCAAAACCCTAGAGGAGAAAACAGGCAACAACCTCTTTGACCTTGGCTGCACCAACTTCTTACTAGATGTGCCTCTGGAGGCAAGGGAAACAAAGGCAAAAATGAACTATTGGGACCTCATCAAGATAAAAAGCTTCTTTCTGCAAAGCAAAGGAAACGATCAACAACAAAACTAAAAAGCAACCAATGGAATAGGAGAAGATATTTGAAATGACATATCAGATAAAAGGTTAGTATACAACATCTATAAAGAACTTATCAAACTTAGCACCCAAAATACAAACAATCCAGTGAAGAAATGGCCAAAAGACATGAATAGACACTTTTCCAAAGACATCAAGATGGCTAAGAGCACAGGAAAAGATGCTCTACATCACTCATCATTAGGGAAATACAAATCAAAACCACAATGATACCACCTCACATCTGTCAGAATGGCTAAAATTAACAACTCAGGCAACAACAGATGTTGGCAAGGATGTGGAGGAAAGGGAACACTTTTGTGTTGCTAGTGGGAATGCAAGTTGGTGCAGCGACTCTGGAAAACAGTATGGAAGTTCCTCAAAAAATTAAAAATAGAACTACCCCATGACCCAGCAATTGCACCACTAGGTATTTACCCAAGGGATACAGGTATGCTGTTTCAAAGGGGCACATGCACCCCAATGTTTATAGCAGCACTATCAACAATAGCCAAAGTATGGAAAAAGCCCAAATGTCCACTGATGGATGAATGGATAAAGAAGCTGTGGTATATAAATACAATGGAATACTACTCGGGGTCAAAAAGAATGAAATCTTGCCATTTGCAACAACATGGGTGGAACTAGAGTGTATTATGCTAAACGAAATAAGTCAGTTAGAGAAAGATAAATATCATAGGGCTTCACTCATGTGGAATTTAAGAAACAAAACTGGCTGTGGTGCCTGGGGTTGCCTGGGTGGCTAAGTCGGTTGAGCGTCCAACTTCGGCTCCGGTCATGATCTCACAGTTTGTGGGTTTGAGCCCCATGGCGGGCTCTGTACTGACAGCTCAGAGCTTGGAGCTTACTTCAGATTGTGTGTCTCCCTCTCTCTGCTCCTCCCCCACTCACCCTCTGTCTCTTAAAAATGAACAAACATTAAAAATATTTTTTTTTTATAAGTTAACAAACAAAAGGAGCGCCTGCGTGGCTCAGTTGGTTAAGGCTCCAACTTCAGCTCAGGTCATGATATGGCAGTTTCCAAGTTCAAGCCCTGCATCGTGCTCTCTGCTGTCAGTACAGCACTCCTTCTGATCCTCTGTCACCCTTTCTCTCTGCCCCTCCTCCACTTGTGAGGTGCACACACAAAATAAATACATTTAAAAACAAACCAGGGAGGCAAACCATAAGAGACTCAAATACAGAGAACAACCTTTGGGTTGCGGAGGTGGGGGAGTGGGGGGGGGGCAAATAGGTGATGGTATATATAGGGGGCATTTGTTGATGAGCTAATAGAAGTGTTATATGTAAGTGATGAATCACTAAACTCTACTTTTGAAAGCATTACGACACTATATGTTAACTAACTTGGATTTAAATAAAATTCAAAAAATCAATTCTGTGATGGAAGTAGGAGTAAAAAAAATAAAATAGGTTTTAAAATAATTCATATAAGTGGAGCACAGGGCATTTTTAGGACAGTGAAACGATTCTGTATGATATTGTGGTGGTGGATATATGACATTATGAATTTGTCAAAGCCCATGGAATTGTACAAGAGAAATAGTGAACTCTAACAAACTCTCTGCACGTTAGCTAGTAATAATATCAATATCGGTCAATTAATTACAACCAATGTAACACACTAATACTGCAGGGTGTTAACAAGTGGAACCTGGGCTGTGGGGAGGTAAGAGAAAATATAAGGGAACTCTGCACTTTCTGTGCCATTTTTCTGTTAACCTAAAACTGTTGTAAAAAAGAAAGTGAACCTTTAAAAATAGCTCGTATCCTAAGGATAAAAAGAAACAAAGAGTATCTCCGTACACTGTAGTGCAATTCATCACACACACAAAAAAACCATATCCGAATCTGTTTAAAGGGATTTAATTAATAAATACGTTAATACCCAAACAAGTTCCTAACGTTAGGACAAGCCAGAACTTTGATCATCGTCTAGACCATATCGCAAGTCAGGAAACTGAAACCCTGAGAAACAGATCAAGATCTAAGTTGTTTGGTGGCAGTACTGAACTCCAAACTCCGTTTTTAAAATCCAAGCTGAAGCGCTCCTTCGAGAACGCTACATGCCCTATCTTTCCCAAATGAGATAATATAGTGGCAATAACTTGTAAAAATTCCAACACAGACGCAACATGTAGGACTGTAGAATTGGGTAAAGGAGCCACCTGTAGGCCTGTTGTCTTTCGTTAAACACCCCCACTTCATTTAGTTCTCCTCAGGCTGTTCTTACTTGCAAAGATAGACGTCCCAAAGGTCTCCCAGTTCTCAGCAGGGCAGGTTCCTGGACAGCAGCAGATGTGCCCCGCCCCGCTTTCCCTTCCTCCCGGGGGGAATCTAGGCAGGGCCGAGAAAAGACTGAGGCCCGAGCTCCTCAGGCGACCCCTACCCAAGACCTGCGATTCTCTTCAGTCGCAGCCCTCCAGACGTCCCCGCGTGGGACCTCAGTTTCCCCAACGCCTCACGGGCCCACTGGATCTTTAGCTACTGAAGCTAAACTCCAGTCTCCTTCCACGTTCTTTTTTGGCGCGTCTTTGACGCAACTTCCGACCAAGGTGCTGCGAGACCGGAGGGAGGGATGGAGTGCAGCCAATCAAGGAGTTCGGCCAGACGGAAGCCGTGAGGCTCCCGGAAGCTGTCCAGAGGTCCCCACAGGAAAGCGGAAGCGGCGCGCAGCACGTGGGGGAGGTGCCGGTCCTAGGGTTCTGCGTCCACTTGGTTTGTGATTGTGAGGCTGGCCTCCGCCACAGCAGAGGACGAAGGGCGGGGCGCGGGGAGCCCGAGAGACGCTGCGGAGCGGGGAGACGGGCTGAGCGCCATGGAGGGCTCAGGGGAGGCGCCGGGCCCACAGCCACCGCATCCCGAGGACCACCGCATCCGTGACGGCGACTTCGTGGTGCTGAAACGGGAAGATGTGTTCAAAGCAGTGCAAGTCCAGCGGAGAAAGTAAGTCAGGTCGCTGGCCTTAAGGGTCCCCGCTTCATTTTCTAGATACCCCCTTTCTCCAGGTCTTCCCACCAGGGTCCAGTTCTTGGATCTGTGGATCCCCAACCTCCTTCCTCGTTTTCTCCTCTTGATCTTCTTACAGAAACCTTTTCCCCCAACATCCCATTCCCGTGTCCCTTTTGCCTTCCTGCAGACTGCCTCTTCCAGGGTTTCAAACCTGGTCTTCTGCCTTCAACATCCCTCTCGGTCTTTCCACCGGGTTCCCTTTCTCATACTTGGCCCTTGGGTGCTCAAGTGCTCTCCCCCTTCCTTGTTCTCACCCTTTCCTGTGTCCTGGAGTTGTTCTCCTAGGCTCTTGAGATGTTCTCTCCTGTTATCTCACAGAACTCACCAACCATTCTCTCCTATCCTTGACTCTCGGGGTCCTCCCCTCCCCTGCCTTTTTCCCATAGACCATCCTTTCTCCCTACTCCCTCAGCCAGGATCAGTCCCACAAAAATGAAACGTCTCCCACCTTATCTGACCTTTGGTCTCTTTTCTGTATCCAAACTGGAATAACTGTTTACACATAGTAACGTTGGAAAACAATTTCCCATAGAATGTAGGATTACTCTAGGATTCCCTCACTTAACACACAGGGATGCGAAGAGATCTAGGAAAGTTAAATTACCTAAAAGCAGTTTGCTCAAGATCTCAAAACTTGAAATCAGGCTTGATTTGTGAACATGCTGATTAGTTGTAACTCTGTTTTAATATTAGAAAAGTGGGAATTTTTGGTAACTTTTTGGCAGGAGTGGTGAGGTTGTTAAATCCCAATAGCTTATTAATGCTGAAAATGTATTGAGATGTTTCTGTTAATTATCTGAAAAGTACAACCAAGTTTTCCTTTAAGTTTGGTTATTATAGTACTTTAGACAATGAAACAAGTTGAGTTCAGTGTCAGGAGAACAGCTTTCTGCAGAGCACAGTCTAGGTGCTCTGAGATTTGGAGTTTCTAAGTGCTCCCTTCAGATAAATTATTTTATTCCTGTGTGAACCAAACTGTTGACTGGTATTTAAAGTGAAACAGGTGTCATTAGAAAATAATCAAGTAACAGCCCGCAAAGCACCATGCTGGTGACAGCCAAGTTTTATTGCACAAGAACCAGCGTGGTAAAGAAAAATAAATGCAGTGGGGGTAGGGGGTGGGGGGTTCTTTTAGTCCAGAAATATATCTGCATCATTTTCTCTAGAATTTCTGATTAGAAATGTGTGCTGGCCTTCAAGTGTATAATTTTGGAAAGAGCCAATATTAATTATTTAAACTTTTTAATTGAATTGAAGTGTAACAGTGCAGCAAAATCCTTAGGTTATGCTTGATGAATGATACCAAGTTTACACAGCTGTATAATGACCATGCAGGTGAAATTTTGTTTTTTCTTTCTTTTCTTTCTCATTTGCCCTTTTCTCAAGTTGCTTAATTTTAAAAGTGGACGTTTGAGTGTGGTTGTTAATAATGTGCTCTTTTAGACAAGAGCTTTTTCATTACCAACAATGCGGACAGTAGCATCTTTATTTCTAAAAAGTACTCTGTTCGTACTCTAGACATACTTGTTTGGAAGCACTTTTCATCACTTTTCTTGGCAGAAGCCATTGCATTAGTTTCCATTTGATTTAGTAAATGATGCTTTGAACTCATCGAAATCCCAGGTCATACTCTCCCTTTACTGTTCTTCGGGTCTGCACACATCTGGTTGGGTAGAAGCAATCCTGGCTTACTGAAGAGACTGCACATCCCACTCTTTCTCGGTGAAGACATGGCATTGCATTGCTCTGACTGGGCCCCACTTTCCTGACTAGGGCAGTGACGTCTTGTCACGCCGCTCAGTTTGAGTGGCACACCTTTCTTTGCATATCAGACCCCCAGCCAGAAGGGTAAACCCAAACCATCTCAGACTCAGTATTTCACTAGCACTGGGGTGCTCAAGGGATGAGAGTGTGGGTTGCACATCTGGACTGAACGGAGTTTCAATTTCTGATGGGATTTATGTCAGCAAATATTTTTAGAGTCTGTTATGTTCTATTACGTTTTAGAAACTGGGCACACAGCAAAGAATAAGAATTGATCCTATCTGGATTACTTAGGATCTCGCAGGAATTCACTCAGGTGGTTCAAGGGAGGAGATTTAATGAAGATGTGACATACACATGTACAGTGGTGTGGCGAGGTTTAGAGAACCAACAGAGAATGGTGATGCACCCAGGGTCTAGCAGTGGTGAGATACTTTTGGCAAGGGAGCTTGGGTGATGTGGTCTATGCATTCTGTCATAGACTCCTGGGGCACAGAAAAAGGAAGAGAAGGTGTAGGGTGGGGCACAAACAGAATTAATCAGTACATGTCTTCCAGGATTCGGAGTTCTGTGGACACTGGCCATGTCCTAAAACTAGGCAGGGCTTCCTGAGATCCATTGGTCTTTTCTGGGGCAGACTGTGTGGTATAGTGGAAGGTACCAGGCTTTGGAGTTAGTCAAACCTGGATTTTAATCCCAGCCTCCCACTATGTAACTATGAGTCTTGGACAAGATACTTTTCCTAAGCCTTAGATTGCTCATCAGGAAGGAGCTATGTCCCAGGATTGCTGTGAGAATTAAATGAAAAAGCATGAAACTCACTGGCATGTACTGCCCAGCCACTTGTCAACACTCAGTAGGTGTTTTGAAGAAAAAGAAAAGGTTGTTTGTTTTTGTGGGATTTTCCTTTTAAATGGTAATAAGATAAAAAGTTAGATAATGAGGAAAGCTAAAGTTGCCAGATCCTCAGTAGAGCATTGTCAGCATTAGGCATATTTCCAAATGTATAGATTGTCAGTAATGTTTATTTGTAAACATAATTTGCTTTTACTAGATATTTTTATTTATTTATTTATTTATTTATTTATTTATTTATTTATTTATTTATTTATTTATGTGTTTGTTTGTTTTAGTAGGCTCCACACCTAATGTGGGGCTTGAACTCATGACTCCAAGATCAAGAGTCACATGCTCTACCGACTGAGCCAACTAGGCACCCCTGCTTTTACTAGATAATTTTTAAAGGAAATAGCCAGTTAGACCAGGGAATTTGTTAAATCCCTGTCTTCTCAATGATTGTTTGAGGGGTGTCATAGTGTCACAGTGTGTGTTCAGTGGCCAGGCAATCTTGGTGACCCTTTATTTAGGAAATCTGCAAACCTGTGAGTTAGGACATCCTGTCAGTGCAAGTTGGAGTCAGACCAGTGCCTCAGAAGAGGAATGTCTTCTGTCCTTGTTTCTCATTCCAAATTCACTGTTTTTGTGGCTTCTTATTAATTTTGTCTCTGTCCAACCCAGTTCTCTCTAGTTCATTTGTCAGTTCATGTTCAGAGATAATGTTCAGAGATCAGTCTCTGTGGGAGACCAGTTTTGAAATAAATTTGATTGAGCATATATTTTCTACACTGAATGCAAATAAGATACAGCTAATTGCATTTTCTTCCCCAGAAAAGTAACTTTTGAAAAGCAGTGGTTCTATCTGGATAACATCATTGGCCATAGTTATGGAACCACATTTGAAGTGACCAATGGAGGAAGTCTTCAGCCTAAGAAGAAGAAGGAAGAGCCTACTTCAGGTGCACTCCTTTGGGTATATGAAATAGGTGCTCTTGAGCTGACTAGTCAGAAACCTGTCAACCACAATTCTAAAATGCTAACCCAAGCTATCCTCAAAGAAACTTAAACTCATAATCTAAGAACTGTAGCTTGATGGAATGAAGCGAGGTCTGCTTTTGACTTTTGAGATACCTGGATTCTGGCTCTAGCCCATCATTAACTGGCTCTCCGACCTTAGGCCAAATTTTTAATCCCAGGAACCCTTGCTAAGAGCAGGTAGAGAGCCCTTTCAGTGCCCAGAAGTTAAATAATTGCTGGAGGCAGTTAGCATGTAGGGTAGAGGTTGAGAGTCTGGCTTCAAAGTTAACTGACTAGGTTTAAGTTTGTTTTATCACTCGCCTTGTCACCTTAGGCAAGTTACTTGGTTTCTCTAGGTCTTAGAGCTTCATCTGTAAAATGGAGCCATATGTACATTTAATGCCCAGGATGTTGCTGATGTTCAGTCATATAATATATGGGAAGTTCCTAACAGTGCCTTGCCTGTAGCAAAGGCCCATAATTTTAGCAGTTATTGTTAATTAAAATTAAGTACTCCAACATTTGTTAAAATAAATGTACTTAAGATATTTTATTAATTAAAATAATTTTTAAAATCAATTAAAATACTATTTTAAAATTTTTGTTCAAACCAATTAAATGCCTTTCAGTTAACATCCATATTTTTATTGAGCACCAAATATGTTCCAGGTATGATTAGGCAGTGTGATTGTAACAGTTTATGAGATAAACCATCTCATGAAATGTACTTAGCAGTGGGGAACACCAAAAATAAGTAGACAAGCTAAACACATACTTGTAGGTAGTGGTATGTGCTGTGCAGACCATAAAACAGGGAGGTGTGCTGGAAGCTGATTGGCTGAGATAATGAGTTCACTGCTGAGTGATGGGAAGGACCTAGGCAGAAATCTACCCAGAGATTGTCATAAAAGCACTCCCAAGTGGAGGCAGCAGCAAGTGCCAGAGCGCTGCAGTGAGCCTATGTTTGGTGTGTTTGAGGAAGAGAAAGAAGGGCAAAGTGGCTAAAGTGTAGGGGCCAGAGCGTATACAGCCTTGCAGGTCGTCTTTGGAATGTATTCTGGTTGTAGGAAGCCACTGTTTTGTGCACGGGAGGATTAGATGAGCCAGTTTGCATTTTGTAAAGAGAACTCTGGTATCTGGGTGGATTGTAAGGGAGCAAGAGTAGGAGGGAGCAGGAATAGGAGTTAGAGACTGGAGCAGTCATGGCAAGAAAAGAGTGGAGGGAGGAATAGAGGCAATGGAATTAGAAGGCCAAATTTGAATGACTGATGGGCTGGATGTGGACATGAACTTAGAAGAAGAAAGATTTTAACTAACTGCAGATCATAAATGTCATAAAGCAATTTCCTTCCTTAGAGACCAAAGAAGCGGGCACTGATAATCGAAATATAATTGATGATGGGAAATCTCAGAAACTTACTCAAGATGACATAAAAGCTTTAAAGGACAAGGGCATTAAAGGAGAGGTAATATTCAAAGGATGTTGTGTTTTGTTTTTGTATGGTTTTGAGGAAATTATTTGGTTTTTAAAGCAGGATTTACCCAAGGTGAAATGTAAAAATACTTCCTCTTAAAAATAGTTTGAAATGTACATGCAATTCAGTATATCAAAGATATCATTTCTTTTATGCAGGAATGTGAGTGACCTTACTGATATTATTAGCAAAAGAGAATTTAATAACTTAGTGCATATCAGAGCTTAACTTGGTTCATTTTCAGCCAGTGTCTTTCTTTTACATCTCTTCTCCCTTTATTATGTATGTGTCTCTCTCTCTCTCTTTTTTTTTTATCCTGTTTTAAGTGGAGTTACAAAGTACTTGTATTTTAATACAAGTTCTAGATAGTGAAAAATGCAGTGTATTCATTTGGACTTGTGTGGAAAGGGGCCTGGAAAATCAGGTCTTTGTATATGTTCTAGGGTAAGAAACCTTTGAAGTTATCGTTTCAGTAGAAATAAAATTTCAGGAAATCTGCTTGCTCCTTTTCTTATAGGAAATAGTTCAGCAATTAATTGAAAATAGTACAACATTCCGAGACAAGACAGAATTTGCTCAAGATAAATATATAAAAAAGAAGAAAAAGAAGTAAGTGGCCTTTGTTTGAAAAAGATGAAAGTATTAAATCTTTATAGACTTATAAAATTATTAAAAATAAAATATTTTTAAGCCAATTTTTCAAGACTGATATCCTCTTTTTTCTTCCCTCAGGTATGAAGCCATCATTACTGTTGTGAAGCCATCCACCCGCATTCTTTCAATTATGTATTATGCAAGAGAACCTGGAAAAATTAAGTACGCTTTGTTTCCTTTCAAAAGTATAATTGGGGGAAAATATGTCTTTAAGAAAAGTCATGATTTTAAGTAAAATGAAAAACTTGCACACCTGCATAAAGTGTCCTCCTACCTCATGAATTGTAAGTTCTTTTTACTGTTGTCTCCAAAGCAATCTATAATCTTACCAACATCATTTTTGTGAAACAAACAAATAAAATTGAGAAGTGATGATTAAGATAGCTGTCTCTGCTTAGCTAAAAATAAATGAATCATTCCTTTTTTTCTTTAGCCACATGAGATACGATACCCTAGCCCAGATGTTGACATTGGGAAATATCCGTGCTGGCAATAAAATGATTGTAATGGAAACGTGTGCAGGCTTGGTACTGGGGGCAATGATGGAACGAATGGGAGGTAAGATTTAACGTTCTCAGGTTCATTAAAGCACCACCATGACATAAGTAGAGGGGCCTAAAAACACAACGCACAGAAAGTGAGACTGAGTTACTACAAGATTAATGAAATGGCTTGGGTGGGCCTGCACAGCTCCCATCCCTGGGTCCTTCCTGCAGCATCCACATCTCCCAGCCAGCGCTGTGTTGGTGCCCCTGGATGGTATTTGCCCTTTCCAGCTTCAACATCGATGGGGATGTTTCTGAAGCTTTTTTCTGGCTTGGACCTCCAGGACAGTGATTTCAGTGAATTCTTGGATAGCTGGCGCTCATTTTATTGGTGTGAATTGAGGTAATAATATGAGAAGAATACTGGGGGTATATTTTGTCCTGGAGGAACACAACACGGCCTGGTTTGCCTGTCCTCTCTCTAACCCTGTAGAAGATAAGAACTTTTAACTGTCCTGATTGAGGATTGGAGTAGGGGAAAGCTGAGAGCCAGTCACCGATCACATGACATCCAAATTTGCACGATCACAGGGTTTTACCATAGTGTCAAGTGGGGTAAGCTTTAAGACTTCTTGTTCATGTTGGGGCACCTGGGTGGCTCAGGATGCTCTCCCTTCTCTCTCTCTCTCTGCCCCTCACTGCTCATGTGCGCACTCTCTCTCTCAAGACAAAGAAACATTAAACAAAACAACAAAAAAAAATTTCATGTTCCCGTGTTTTGGAATTATATTTCCTTCACTGGGCATATTCATAGACTGAACAGCCCCCAGAGGAGCTGCATCATCTTGCAGCCTCTGAGCAGAGTAGAGACCTTCTATCTTCTTACTGTGGCAGACCCTGAGGTTTTGCATAGTCTAGAATCACCTCCGTCAAGCAGATGTTTGCTTTTTTTTTTTTTTAATCCAGGCTTTGGTTCCATTATTCAGCTGTACCCTGGAGGTGGACCTGTTCGGGCAGCAACAGCATGTTTTGGATTTCCCAAATCTTTCCTCAGTGGTCTTTATGAATTCCCACTCAACAAAGTGGACAGTCTCCTAAATGGCACGTTTTCTGCAGAGATGTTATCTTCAGAGCCTAAAGACAGTGCTTCAGTTGAAGAAAGTAATGGCACCCTGGAGGAAAAACAGACTTCAGAGCAAGAGAAGGAAGACAGTGTGGCAGAAGCCCAAGAGAGCCATCACCCACAGGAACAAGAAACAATGGAAATTGTCTCTCAAGATCCAGAATATAAGGAGCCTAAAGAGAGAGGAAGCAAAAAAGATTATGTAAGAGTATTAAGAGTCCCCACTACCTTCATAACATTCCCCTCATTATGGCTTTTCCTGATCCTTTTTTTTCCTTTCATGTCAGGATCTATTACTGTGTAACTCCCTCAGTTTCAGTTAACTTAATTTAAGCACTGAGATTTGGCTTGGCTTTGGAGCATCAGTGCCCAAGATAGTGAATATCAAAACAGATGGAGAAAGCGTGTGTGTGGGTGTACACACGTATGTGATGTGATCTTTGGGATGGAGCTTTAGGATACAGAAGCATTGTATACCAGGTAGCTTAATGATGGTTTTATAACATACGGATTTATGTGTTTGCAACTTTCTTATGAATGACCTTCTGTTGCTTTAGTCTAAGTTGCTAAATATTGTTGAAATGTTCTGACAGACCAGCATTTCCTAAACCTGACTGAATGGCCTCAGTACATTAGTTTCTTCTTTTTCTTCTTGAAGATTCAGGAAAAGCAGAGGAGACAAGAAGAGCAAAGGAAAAGACATTTAGAGGCTGCTGCTCTGCTGAGTGAAAGAAATGCAGATGGGTGCGTTGATGAAGGAATGCAGATATCTGGGTGCTCATGGGTTCTGCTTCAAACAGATTAGAATTGTCTGTCTGCTTGTCTGCTTGTCTGCTTTGATTATAGTGGGAGTTGAGATGATGATTCTGTCTTGGGTTTTTAAAGAAAGGAGGCTGCATCTAGTGGAGGTGGGAAAGTGTGCTGGTTTCAGAGTTTTAGAATAAGTTTGGAATTTCTCTGATCACCGTGTGTCAGATGGGTCTGTGTGGTCCTGCTGCATGCAGGTGGTGGGGCATTCAAACTGGTGTGATACTGGCTACCCGTAAGGGCTAGGGGAAACCTGACAGTCATAGATTCAGATATCCGTAAAGCCAGTAAGTACCATGTTGGATTTGTTTCCAGATTTTTTTGTTTTTAAATCAGGAGTGTCGTTAAGTGCGACTTAGAGTTGCCAAGCACCAAAAGAGCTTTTTTTTTTTTTTTAATGTTTATTGTTGTGAGAGGGGGAGAACGAGCAGGGGAGGGGCGGGGGGTGGGGAACAGAAGATCCAAAGTGGACTCTGCACTGACAGCAGAGAGCCTGATGTGGGGCTTGAACTCACGAACCATGACATTGTGACCTGAACTGAAGTTGGATGCTTAATTGACTGAGCCACTGAGTCACTCCCAAAAGAGCTTTTAATTCATTTTGTGTTTCTTAGAAAGTAATAGCTTATGATTTTGTTTGTTTGTTTGTTTGAATTTGTAGAATGTTGTATATCAAGCTCTTCCTTGTGCAAGTCATGGCAAATAAATGATCATTTTAAATACATTTTAAAATCTGCGCTCCGCCTTGCGAGCAGAGAAATAATTTGTCTAATGTTTTCCTTACAGTTTAATTGTAGCTAGTCGTTTCCATCCCACTCCACTCCTGCTGACTTTGCTGGACTTCGTGGCCCCTTCAAGGCCATTCGTGGTCTACTGTCAGTATAAAGAGGTAATACTGAAATGGAATGGATGAGAGTTCTTGTGTCTGCATGTTAATACTCAAATCACAGCCCTCAAAGTCATCCTCAACTCTTTTTATGCTTTTAGCCGCTGTTGGAATGCTATACAAAACTGCGGGAAAGAGGAGGGGTCATCAACCTCAGACTGTCTGAAACCTGGCTCAGGAATTACCAGGTATGTGTTCTTAGAGCCAGTTCCTGGGAGCTACTCTCTTGAGTTGCTGGCTCTTTGCAGTAGTGCCAGAAGTTGTTAAATAGAAATTTGCCTATTTCTGTCTACAGAGATGAAAGAATCTCCTGCCTGTAACTCAGAGAAAGTGCCTTGGCTTTTCCTGACCCTTTTTTGTCCGTTCATGTCATGGTCTATTACTCTGTAACTCCAGAAACATTTAAAATGTAAACAATTATGATTCGTGTTTCTTCAAGGCCTCGAGATCATTGTGGAGGGAATAAATGATAATAGCAAATTCCCTAGGCCAATAAGAAAGTGACTCTCTTCTCTCTCCCGGGATATCTTTGCATCAGATTTTCAGGATTTACTTCTGGGCTCCATGTCAGCTCAGGTCCTCTGGAAGGCATTTGCTAAGATGGAATTAGCAGTGGAAGGGATTTATTGGGGAAAATGTCTTAGAAAGATGAGAGAGGAAGCAAGATTAGATGGGAAAGCCCTCAGACCATGGTGGAGGTCTGATGGCTGTGAGAGAAGGGGGAGAAAGGAAGATGGGCAGGAAGATCCTGCAGTGCTACCCTCAGAAGGTCTCAGCCAATATAATGGGGAACCCCAGAGCAAAGAGTGCCCATTAAAGGAGCCCTATGTTGAGCAGAGATGTTGTGGTCCTGGAACCCATGTCAGTAATCGACTTGGAGTGGCCCATGGCCTCCCTGGCTGTGAATGCTGCAGAGGATCCCAAAGGAGCAGCACCTAGAGGCTTTCTGCTGCCTGAACTCCTCACAGCCGGTTCCCTCTGGAAGGTCTGAGGGAGCACCGCCATGGCTGCCACGGGCACTGCCCTGCTGCTTGGACATTGTCCTACTTAATCCAGGATACTTAAAGCCCTGAACGGACCCTGCCCTTCATGACAGTCATCTTATTGAGCTATGGTAACGGCAGAGAAGAGATCTTGTCAGAGTTAACAAGGTATTCGGGCAGGGAGGCTCTGGATATGTGTCCAGTAGCTACTTCTCCATGGACTGAAACTCCACTGTTGGCCATGAAGCTTCCTGGAGCCAATAGAAAGAAAGTTATGCACAGGCCCAGAAGTACTACACCAACCATTTGTTTGCCACTAGAAACTTGCGTCAGGTTTGAGAGCAGCAGCTCCAGCTTTATTTCTCAAAAGAAAACCACTTAAACCAGTTTCTATACTCTTATCTGCACTATTATGTGAAGGAGGAGCTCTTTAGGAATTGATCCGATTAAATCTTCAAGAGAATCTGTGTCGTTTAAACTCTGATTTCCAGCATGTGTATTGTTAGTATGTGCTTTATCTGCTTAGGAAAACATGAATGTTTTTCTGTCTTGATTAGGTTTTGCCAGATCGAAGTCATCCCAAACTACTGATGAGCGGAGGTGGGGGGTACCTTCTCTCAGGCTTCACTGTTGCCATGGATAACCTTAAAGCAGACCCCAGTCTCAAATCCAACGCAAGCACTTTAGAATTACACAAGACTGAAGAGCCAGCAGCTAAAAAACGGAAATGCCCAGAGTCTGACTCTTAAGCTTTCAAAAATTGCTCTGATTTTTGTCCTCAGGCACTATACAGTTAGTAATTAAACCTTAAATGCTATTACTAATTGTTTTCTTACATTCAAAAATAAGAACATGTCTGTACACCTGCTCCTGGGAAGGACGAGTAAGCCTTTTGTCCACTTCTGGCACAGATAGATTTGGTCTGTCAAAACGTCGAGCCAAAATACCTAAGCCTGGGTTATATGCAGTGGACTGGTATATATGGCCAATCCTGTTTATTTCACAAAAATCCTCTAAGTACATTTGGTACTCTGTGCAAATATCCTGAGAATTTAGACATCCTAGAAATATATTTATACAAGACTTTATGTGTTAAGCTAAGTGGAATAACACAACATAGAGAAAACTTAGGTACTAAAAAGGAATTTGTGGAAGACATTTCTTGTGTTCATTCCGCTCTCTTTAATCTAAGCAATATGGATGTATGAGTGTCTGAGATTTACAGTACCAAAAATGTCCTCCCTGTTTCCTCCAGTGGAATAAACTTTTTTAAAATGCTAGGTTTTTTAATTTTAATAGTTGATAACTTAGGAAAGTTCTGAGTATTTATTTTACTGCTTTTTTTTGTCAACACAGAGGTGTAGTAGGGTACTTTTTTGGGTTAATTTGCCAATCCCCTCCTTCTTTGTTCGAAATGAAGTGACTAGAATTTTTGTGTACTATTCAATTAAAGGCAACAACAAGGGTTTTTTCCCCCCTACCCAGACACTTGTGGAGAGATATATAAATATATGTATATATATGTACACACATACATATGTATATGGTTGTTGGTATATACGCATATATATATTTATATATACACATATACACGGAGACAGAGAATGCACTATCTATGTGAACTATGACAGTTTAGTGCAGAGCTTAGACCAGTTCTCATTGCATTAGTGTCACTCCTTGTCAGTTGTATTTTAAAGTGCCTTTTTTGGTGATTATTAATGCTGGTTTGTTGAGCTCTGGCATGATTAGGTGGTTAGCCTTTCTAAGCTCTGAAAACATATAATCAAATTATTTGGTCATCTATAGCCAAGGAAAGTGTTTACAGTAAGCCACGGCTCTTGTCTTGCTTACTAAACATGCTCATAGTGTGTATTGTTCACATCATTATAGCACAGATGCTGATCATCCAGCAAGGAGCATCTCAGAAAAAAAGAAATTACATTTTCCTAATAGCATGTACTATCCTGATAACAGTCAATGTGATTACCAACAAGTACAGTTTTGATTCCTTTTTCTTAAAACAATTCCTTTTAAAGAATAAAAGTGTTTCCTACTACGATTTGTCTGATTTACATTAATGATGCGGTCAGTGACACCACATTCACTGGCTTTCAGCTGATTGTGACATGTGATCTGTATAAGAAAATGTGCCCAAATTGATAACCTCACTGAACACGTCCTTGCAAACAGTCCTCACCCACATACAACCAGTCAAGTTTTGTCAAGGAGAGTACATGCACAGACTGGATTCTGTAGCGGCTGCTCTCCACGGGTCATTGTCATTAGAATCCTCTCATACTTGTTATTCATTGAGTTTTCAAGTCCCATCCCATTTCATTCATTCTGCAAGTCTGCACTACCAAGGTCCTGTGTGCCCATGTAGCTGCCCTGGAGTTTCTTGTGAACTCATATACCAACAGTAAAAGTTAACCTAAACCGAGTTGTTTTGTTTTGTTTTGTTTTCTCTTTCATATTATTCACTTCATCTTTGAGAACTGATGCTTAATTCAATAACTTGAAAACTTAGTGTGCACCAGAATTCCCTGGAGGGCTTATTAAACACAGATTGTTTAGCACCTCAAAGTTTCTGATTCAGTAAGTCTGGGGTGGGGCAGAAAATTTGCATTTCTAAGAAGTTTCCAGGTGATGGCTGGTACTGCTGACCCAGGGACCACTGCTTGAGAAACACTCCTGTGTGTACACCCACATCAAGAGCACGCCAAACTACATGATGCTTTTTTTCTTGTTTGTAAAGTAGACATCCACCTTTGGAGCAGATGAGTGGATAATTCTATGACTTCTGGACATGTAGCCACCAAGAGTTATGTGCAATAACACTTTAATGAATGGCAGTCAAAAAATAAAGACAAAAATCAGTTTGTAATGTCCATCTTATTTCTTCATTGGATTAGGGTACTTGGACATATACAGTGGTGCCAACGAGATGATTTTTTAGCTTAGAGGTGTGAAGCAGATCCCTCCCCCCCATTATTTCTTTGAATAAATTTCTGCCTCTTTCTTTCTGGGACCCCTATAATGTGTATATTGGTCCACAAGTCCCTTAAGCTAACTTTTTCATTATTTAAAAAAATTTTTTGCATCTCTGATTGAATGAATTCCACTGCCCAGTCTTTGAGTTCATTGATCCTTTCTTCTCTTTGACCTATCTGCTTTTGAACCCTTACATTGAATATTTTAGTTCACTTATTATTTAGCTCTATGATTGCTTTATGGTACTTATATTTTCTCTATTTGTTGAAATTCTCACTTCGTTCATGAATTGTTCTGACCATGGTGAGCATCTTTATGATCATAATTTGAACATTCTGTCATATAAATCACTTATCTCTGTTTCATTAAAATCTGTTTCTGGAGATTTAGCTTGTTTTGTTTGAAACCTATTCCTCTGTTTATTTTTTTCTCTCTATATGTTGGTGCTTGCATATTAGATATGACAGCAGCCTCTCCCAGTCTTGACAGGTTCGTCTTGTGTAGGAGGTAAACCTCACTAACCAGCTTAGTCTGAGCTGCTGGTTGTCTCTTCATGATTGCCTAAGCCACTATCTTTGTTCTTAGTGGTCCCTGGTAATTGAGGGTGTGCCAAGACCTGCTATTAATCAGCCGGTCCTCAGGCAGCAGGTGGCGATGTGTGTGGTTAAGGCCCTTCCAGAGAGAAATTGGGAGATTGGCATGTTTGCCTGCTTCCTCTATGCTGACCGCAGTTGAATCACTGCAGGGATGTGTTCCTGCACCTGTTTAAAAACTGATTCTTTGCCTTTGTGCTGTAGGAGTCATGAATGTAAGTCCCATCAGCTTTAGAAGTGATCCAGGGTCCCTTAGGTGGCATCCACAAAAGCCGGGGTGCCAGACACATGTACAAGCTCCTTTCATCCAGGTAGGTGCTGGTGATCTGATTTTATCATTGGAGTGAACCAGAGGGAGAAGATAAGGGAGGTGCCCATTGGCTCCCAGGGCCTCTTGGGAGGATGGCAGCTGGTTTCTAAATGTGTGCTAAATCAGAAACTGGACCCTCAGGCAGCAGCTTGTAAAGTATGCAGTCATATCCTTCAGGGAAAGACTGTGAGATGAGCATTTTTGCTCTACACTGAGCCCCAGGGCAAATGCTCTTGTGATTTTGTGAACTTCTTTGCTCCAGTCATATGGGTCTCATGGACCTAAGCGCTATTGGCTTTCAGAGATAAGTGTTTGGGGGGTCCATTCCTTGAGTGGGAATCAAAAGTTGGGGTGCTTATATGTGTGGTCCAAATCCATCACTCAAGAGAAGCTGGGAGTTAGGGTTGGGGATTCTCTTCAAATTGTCTTACTGTGCCCAGGGTAGAGTTGGTGGTGAATGTCTCAGCCTTCCCTACTTGTTTTGATGTGGGTATTTTTTCATTCCCCTGATGTGTAGGAGTCAGTCACCAAGTTTCTGGGTTTCTTTTATTTTATTTTATTTTTTTAAGTTTATTTTGAGAGAAAGTTTATTTTGAGGGGGGAGGGGCGGACAGAACAGGAGAGAGAGAATCCCAAGCATGCTCTGCATGCTTGTTAGCACAGAACCTGATGCGGGACTCAATCTCACAAACTGTGAGATCATGAGAACTGTGAGATCGTGACCTGAGCCGAAATCAAGAGTCAGAGACTTAACCAACTAAGCCACCCAGGTGCCCCCTAGTTTCTGGATTTCTGTCAAAGGGAATTACTCATGTGTAGCTGTACATTTGGTGTATTCATGGGAGGAGCAAAGTCCAGGACCCTCCTATGCTGCCATCTTGGTCCTGTCTTATATGAAGCAAATCTTAATAGGCAATCATTCATTCATTAGTTGTATATGGAAAAGCCAAAAATACATTCTTCACTAATATGTACAAAATTGGGGGGGGGGGGAGGTGGAATTGGGTGTTTTCATCTTGTTTTAAAGCATTGATTATAAATATTGCAAGAGCAATGCTAAACAAAAATTGTTCTAGAAATTCGATATTTAAGGTTAATGTTTAAGGTACCTGGGTGGCTCGGTGGGTTAAGTGTCAGACTACCAGCTCAGGTCATGATCTTGCAATTCATGGGTTCGAGCCCCACATCAGGCTCTGTGCTGACAGCTCGGAGCCTGGAGCCTGCTCACTGATTCTTGTGTTCCTTCCATTTCTCTGCCCCTCTCCTGCTCGCACTCTGTCTCTCAAAAATAAACATTTAAAAAAAAAAAAACATTTTTTAAAAAGATTAATGTTGCTCTTGTGTGTTCCTAATTTTGGAATGTGTTTAAGTGCACTGCTAGAAGGCTGTGGATCCTGGTGTATCTGATATCCCTATTTGAAATATAATGCTGCCTGGAGAGTAGTGTTAATTTTTTGCAAAAATAGATTACAGGTTGTTTTGATTTTCATGTGAAAGGAATATGACAGATGCAGAAATGTGAGTCCCTGAATAGCTACTTAAAGAGTAACTGATAAGCTGTTACCTTATTCTCCTCAACATTTATTAGACACCCTCTGCTTTTTAACCCTTTATGAGGACGTATCAAATCTTTGAAGCTACAGGAAATTTATTGATACCCCTCCCCCTGCACTTACCTCCTCTTTTTTTTTTTTTTTTTTTTGCCTTTACAGTTTCATTAATAACCTGGGCTTTTTCCAGTCGGGTGCTGAGCTGCCCCGGGACCAGCCATCACGATCTCATTTGTCCTGCGGAGTTCGAGTCTGCCGGCTCTGGCTGATGGCTCAGAGTCTGGAGCCTGAGCCTCCGATCTAGG